TTTGAATAAGTGAGCTGATTTCATTGAACCGTCTTCCCCTTTGTTTGTTTTCTTTCCCCAGTGGTAACCTATGCCTTAATAAAAGAGTATGACACTGAAATTCTGAATGAACTGTGAATAATGGTGTTATCAGGGATGGGCAGTGGGGGGAGAGAGGGGTTGAAATGTACATTAAGGCACTAGTGCTGTTGGATCAATAGGTAATCTGTCCAGCTATCTCTTCTAGGATAAATTACTGGGCAAATGGCACTGGGATGTTTTGAACACCCAATGTGTAATAATTTGTTAGTAAGTGAAGCTGCTGGCATTGCTGTAGCTTTCACTTATATATTGGGTTTCCAGGTCTCACGGCACTGTTTGGAGAACTTCCCCCGAGCTCCAGTTCAGAATGAAAATGTCACAGTAAATAGTGGTGGAGAGGGAAGAAGGTTTTATTTTTCACGTGTGATGTGGTTTTAAAGCTTGGGCGCTGATTTCCCTCCATCCTCAGCTTGTGCCAGGACTCACCGGCTGAGGTCAAACAGGTGTCACCTGCACTCACCTCCCCGTTTTCTCTACCCCACCTCTGTGGCATCACAAGGACCTTGTGATATATGCAAGGCTCTGACCCCAGCCATACATTTTGGCCCTGAAATCTCAGGGGACCGGCTGTTGCTAAACTGGCCCCCTGACTTGTATACCAAAGGAAAGACTACTTAGAACGGCAACCACTTTGGTATTAGAAGAGAGTGGACATCTTTGATACCTTCTCTTCTAGCTGTTCGGAAAAAGAGCATCACTTCCGTGTCATAAATCAAACCATTGCATACAGCCTTGAAGTGTGGCTAGTATTACTTGCAACACATAGGGCAAGATACGTTAACGCCTCTTAATTCTAAGTCTTCCTTAAAATGCCAACATTTATGCATTTTTGTGGATGGAACCTTTTTAATGGACTGCAGTAGCCAATTTGCCTCTTCTCCATGTCCAGGGGGACCATGGTGTTGTGTGTCCTCAGTCTTCCTGTGCTGAGCATCGAGACTTACAGAAAGCATCTAAGTGGGTTTGTAGAAATCCCTGCGTGATTGAAAGTGCTCTTGTATCAGCCTTCCTGATCCGTTGGAGAGTTTCATTTGTATCCAAGTGAATGTACTAGATCCTCCCAAAAGCCTTCCAGATAAACATGAAAAGGTCTGAAATAGAGTGTCTAGCCCCACATTTGTCATATCCATTGTTTGATGCCTGAACATGGCTTACATGTCACTCTGCTTTTCATTAAAAATTGAGTGTTAGAGCTGCCTTCAGTGATCTGCTCCAAACTTCCCAACATGCCCAATCCCCATAACACAAAGTCCATTTTTGCCTGTGTGGATTCTGTCCAGTTGTTAGCCCCAAGCACAGCATACCCATTGGGGTGAATGCAAAGCTTGGCATAACAAATCCCATTGATTCACTAGGCCTACTGTCATTGGGATTAATCGTGGAGCCAGCTCATAAAGATTAATTTGCGAGGACTGGAGTGGCCTATAGGTAGCCTGTAAAATACATGTGCCCCCAGGGCGTTTTTTGACCCCCAAAGGCCACACGAGACCTTTCTTGGAGAAAAATGATCCCCCAAATATTCCTCTGGCTGAAAAGGAACATGTCAGCTTTTGCAAAACTCCAGCAATAGTGGCTTTTGGTCCAAATGCCTGGCTGAGATGCCTCCAGATCCCACCCTTCCCTGGAAGGAAGGAAGG